GTCACACTATATACTATAAAAACATACAATTCTTATTTGTCAAGAATGTCTCAACAGCATAGGAAAGAAAATTAAAAAAAAACCAAAACTATATGGGACTTACATACACAATCAATCAACGTAATATACTGGTTGACCAATTAAAAACTACATGATTGTTTCATATAAAAATCTTGCAGAAAGTGTGTTTATTAATGACCTCACTAATGATAATGTAACACAATCAAAAGGAAATCTATCTGAAAAAACTTTAATAAATATGTATTTTCCTAAATTAACTTACTTAACATAATTTCTTCAAAAGGTTGTGGGTTACATTTTAAACATCAACTAATATTTTAACACAAACCATTCTGTTGCTAGTTTTATAATTTTATGCTGTTTTAGATAGACAGATAATGAATAAAATACAAAAGAAAGTATTATTGTAAGCCTATATTTTCTGAAGTGCTAGAAATCATAAAATTTTTTGACTACTATTTAAAAATTTTTAAATCATGCATTTTTAAAAAAATATATAAGTTCTGAAAAATACATGACATCAAGTCTGATAATGATTTTTTTATACTTTCAGTTTTGTCAGTGTTCCCATCATGCATTCCTAATGACATCATCATCATGGGGCACTCAGGATAGGGCATTAGGGAGGCTTTTCTTGAGAGAGTGATAAGGAGGGGGCCACACCTCAATGTGAGTTGAGCACACTTAGAAATTAATCATAGAAGAAGATGTCTACCACAGACGTCTTTCTTCATATTGAAATTACCTCATTTCTTCCCTAAGGTCTTTCCTCGAGACCTAGTTCCTAAATAACTCCTTATCCTATATACCCATTTATTTATTTACTTTTCTTACTTTTGTTCCATTGGTGTAAGACAGTGCTTCAGTAACCTATCACAGTTCCTGGCGAAGAAAAACCAAAATGTGATCGATGATAAAAGTTTACCAAATTAAGATAGAATGCTCTTAAAATATAAGTGACTAATCATGAGTTGCCCAAAAGCATTCTTTGTTTCTTTTCCAAGATGATGAAGACTCTTCATACATTTCCTAGAAAACAGAACCATAACAGGTATTTGAGATAGATCATTTTGATAGATGAAAACAAATACGTTTTTGGTAAAGATGGATGTGATTAAATATAAATGATAAAATTTTCAAATTAAAAAAAAAAACAAATACATTTTTATAAATTAGACAAATGAATATCACATCTGTTTCCATCTGCTCCTCTTTTCCTGATCCCATTACAAATACTTGTATAAGGTGCTGAGAACAGAGAATGAGCAGACAAGCTCCCCAGGCTGAAAGATTCTCACTGCAATTGCAGATGTGACAGACAAGACGCTCTAACAGGACAAGGTGCAACTACAGAACCAGAGTTAATTCTGTTTGGGACACGACAAGAGGCATTGTGGGCAAGGTTACGCAGGAGAAGATGAAAGGTCTTTAAACATTTTTCTTTCTAAACATTTTCTTTCTACTACTCAAACATTTCTACATAAGGTTTTCCAAAGGCAGGTAGGCTATGTCCATTAGCTGCTAAATATAGGTGACTGCCACAAAAGTTCTTAATCAGGTCTGGGGGAACTCTGGTGTGAATTGCTCTGTGCCCTACCCACCTACCACACCCTTCCCTATACATTACCAGACTAGAATTTAGGGAACTTGTAGAAAGAAGGAGGAAGAAGAACATTATCACTTTTTTCCCCTCACTCTCCTGTCAGATTCCATTCTACAGGGAGAGAAATCCAAATTCAACTGCCCTCTAGGAACCTGCACCTCTACAAACCCTCTACAGACGAAAGCAAGTAGAAATCCTGGCTAAGTCCTCAAAGCATCAAAATGGAAATAGGCCCCAATTCTTGTCCCTCACCCTTATTTTCCAGGGCTACCCCCTCATCATCTTTTGTCAACTGACTTACCATTGTGTCCTCCCTGGTAGAGAGGAGCTCAAACACTTTACCAGTGAAGCTCAAAAACTGTAGCAGGTGTGCTCATAGCAAAACACCCAAACACGTGCGCTTTACCAAGTTTCCTTTCCCATATCCTACCCTTTAATCCCAATGTGTTCCCTTAGGACAATGAGTTTCCATTTTCACTCAGAATATATGGTCACAAAATTGCCCTGGTTCAGAATCTAACTTATTTATCTCTACCTTAGATTGAAGACAGTAGGTTCCTGGCAAGGAGGACAGACTCACCCTTTGAAAGCCCTGGGCCTATGCTCTGGTCTTCTGAGCTACTCATTGATTGCTCAGCTTTGCTATCAGCCATAACGCTGTGGGCAGGTCCAGACTCTGAAGTGTAATTACACAATGTTGGCACGTACAGAACAATCCCACCGTTAGTGTTACTGACACCGAGGGAGAAATGAGGGAACTGCCCATTTCATTCCTTCAGAATTGCTTCTATTTAACCAAATAATGACTTGTTCTTCATGACTGGTTTGCTTTATTGCCAGAAAAAAAGAATTCCCCACTATATTTTCAATACTATTCAAAATGCATTTTCTCAGAAATGGCAATATCTTACCCTTTCTTTTTTTTTTTTTTAATATAAAAATAAGGAACTCTAAGAAAAGGCGAGAAAAGGAATTTCTATTTCAGCCACAGCCTAAGTAGCCAGGCATTATTCCTAATCTCTAAAAGAGAGACATTTTTATTCAAGGGAATTCTACTCCAAAGGAGATGCCATCCTCTGTGAACCTCTAGAATGGTCCAGATGAGGAATTCTGTTACCACTTGTTTAGGCCAAATCTATATAATGCATTCTTTGGGGCATGCGTTTTCCATGCTCAACAAACTTGAGAAAGGAGATCTTACATAAATGCCCTAATTCACAGGTAAAAAGATTTCACAGTCAGGGAAGGCATATAAATTCTACATGTTCTCTTACTCTTACCATTTATCTAAAAACTCCCGAGAAAATTCATATCCACAAGGCAATAAATAAATAAATAAATAACTCACCTTTTTCCATATGGGTACCTTGGCTTTTAAAGTGTCAATGGCATAGCTCACAGCTTCAAGGGACGCAGCCCTATGGGCTGAGGACACAGCAATGATTATGCTTGCTTCTGACACTGGAACCAAGCTACAATAAGATGAAGAAAAACAATTACCATCATCTCCAAATCCACATGTTAAAGAATCTTCTGGACACACAAAAGAGAAGTATCCAGTTATGCATTCTTAAGTGTAGTTCTGTTTTACTTAGACATAGGTTTAGTTAGAAAACAGTCATTCATCCCAGTTGCATTCAGCAGAGTGGATGCTGCGGTCAATGCTGAGGCCAATCAGCCAGCATATATCCACTAGACCCATTTGATGGGCACCAAAAAGGAAGGTCCTTTCACCGACTGAACAAACATCTGATTCCGACAAAGCCTAGTGTCAGGTAATGCCTACAGCAGATACAAAGTTACTGCCTGGTAGTTGTAACATGGAAATGAAAATTATTAATAACCAATATTGACAGATGTAGTCTCAATTGCTGGCTTCTTTTGAAAGCCTAGAGCACTACAAAAAGGCAAATTACTTTAATGACTTTCAAAGGCATTTACATCAAAAAGAATCTGTAACAGATTGTCCATATAAACAAGGTGTAGATCACAAAAGGTTCTCCCAAGGCTTCGTGGACTTCAGTACCCAATAACGCTGGCCCTTAGTCCCAGGGCCTGAACGTCTTGGCACACTTACACTGTTACAACACCAGAGGCTGTCACAAGAGCCTAGCCAGGGTCACAAGCAGTCCCTAAAGGTATTGGGATCCAGCTCTAATGTCCTCCAGAATTAATATATAAACATTCCTCTATGGTAATATAAAATTCCTAAGAAAGATTCCCAAACCAGAATCAGTACAAAGATGTAAACCAGCTAAACTTTTAAACGGATAACTCATACCCGAGTCTATGGAACACGGCTATGTGTTTGACTGGCCACTTCTCCCTAATGTCACTACAGATTTTTCTGACTTCGTTTTCTGCCATCGGTAAATATGCTTCATATTCCAAACTAATGACTTTTTTTCCTTCAAAGTTATTTCTTGTAGTTCCTAAACAAACAAACAAACAGATTCAAAGAAGGTTTTTCTTTAGCATAGAAATGTACATTCATATAATAAAAAATAATTATTTTTGAATAGTAAACAAGTAGCATACCAATTTGTCTAAAAATTACTTTGAAATTTCTAGGAACCAAACTTGACCAGGAAAACAAAAGCTAATTATTGTGATTATAATAAATAAAATAATACAGTAAGCAAACTTACAGGAAATGCTCATTTGACAAATGAAGCTACATTCCCTTTCTAACAGCCTTCGACACTTAAAAGGAAAATATTTGTTTCCAGGATTATGGTTAAGTACTTTTTTCTTCAATATTTAGAAATACAAGATTCTCTCTCTTAACAATGACTCTTATCCTATGCTCTCTATGCCTTATCATTTAATGTAAGTTAATTTAAGGTTACTAATACAAAACAAGAACTAAAAAATAATTTCTACCCACTGCTAGGGAAATCTTGGTTTATTGCTCAGTATGTTCAAATCTTCTGACTAGTCCCACTGTACGTGGAGGCACTTGCTAATTTCTATCGTCTTGTTCAAGTTAACAGACGCTGTGAAAATTACAACTCACCTACAAATAGGGATATTGCACCACAGAGTGGAGAAACCACCAACTGTGAGACTTCATCTACTGAAAGCTTCTCGGCAGTAAATTTTATTATATCCTTAGATTCCTCTTCCACTTCATCCATCTCTTTCCTGAAAAGATATTATTAATAAATCTTACTAGATATGTGGAGTCAAACACTCAACTTATAGGCTATATCAACTTATTGTTTTTTCTTTATTTTTTTAAAGAATTATTTTGTTTTATTTATTATTATTATTATTATTCAATTTAACCAGCAAGAGACAGAGAAAGAGAGAGAGAGAGAGGGAAAGTGAGAAAGCAAACTGCCAGGCCTGAGACTTGAACTGCATGCAGTCAGCCACAGGGGAGACCAGTGCTTTAACCACCATGCCACCTACCAGCCCCTAACTTACTGTTTTTTCTACATTAAATATTTTAGGAGATATCTGATACGAAAAATAAAAGTATAAAATTTTAGTGAAACTCGGTGTACTTATATACCTAATAAATCAGGCATAATATAAAACAAAATTCACCATTAACGTGATCATTAAAATGTAATCTATTGCACATGCCAATATATTCTAAATTCTGCCATTTCTACTCATATCTCCCATCACAGTACAGTTGAGCTATTTCCACCCCTATCTGCAGGCATATCACATCTAACCACTGTGTTTCCAAATGCACACCTAGAACTGCTTTTTACTTTATCCAAAAAGGACAGAAGAACGGAAGTAATGGTGAATTCTAAAGGAACTGGTTCCTTTTACAACCTGGAACAACCTTCATTAAGTAACTGAGAAAATAAGGAAATGAACTGCACACCTATTTACCAGGTATGAGGTACAAAGGCCTTTGTACAAGTTTCCAATTTAATTCATCAAACATTATTACATACTCACTAGGGGCCATTATTATATACTCACTAAGAGCCACAGACTAACACCAGGTACTACTGGTAGACCAGGGAACAAAGCACAAACTCCTGTTTTCAGTGCTTATCTTCAAATGGGAGACACAAAGCAATAACTAAGAATGACAAACAGGGATAATTTGTAAAAATAAGCAGGGTTCTGAGACAGAGCATGGGAGCTGGGGAAGGGCTATTTGAGATAAGGGTATCATGGGGGACTCTCTCAGGAAGTAATACTGAAATCTGAGATGTGAAAGATAGGAAGGCAGGCCTATAAAGAAAGGGGGAATGGACCCCTGGCAGATAAAGGGCAAATGCAGAGGCTCTGGGGCAAGAAGGAGCATCAAGTGCTCCAGAATCTCCTAGGAGGGAAGTGAGAAGCTGAGCCAACAGCGAGGGAGAGAACAGGATGGACTGAGTTGAGTAGGAGCTGCAAGCTGTGAAGAGTGTAGTTATAAATCCTGTTAAGGTATCCTCTGAATTGAAAGATGAGAAAAAGAAGGCTCAGAAAAGTTAAGCATTTACACAAGGTGCTGAAATTCCAATAAAGGAGTTAATAAACCAAAAATTTTTCCCTCTCTTCTTCCAACCACTGAAAAACACTGGGCCCCAGGATTTTCTGCCTATTGGATGTGCCAGTTGAGCTTCTTCCATCTCTTTTTCTTGCAATAAGATATTGGTAACCCAAATATGTTCTATGAACTTCAAACCATACAAAGATCCCACAACTTCTGATTCTATTAGACTACTGAAATCTAATAGAAGGTCCTAAAATGACAGAATACCACTATTGTCAAACATACTCAAATAGCACACGATGCTGATGAGTAACCTTTCTAATCTTTCCAAAGAGCAGCTGTAATCGTCACAAACACATATAGCCTGTTTTCTGAATATACACCAACTCTGAAAAATAGCATTTTATAATCTCCTAAAATGACAGTGATATGGTGACCACAGTTGCCAAATAAAAATGAGATACGTATTGCTGTGGTTTGGAAATGGTTTGTCCCCCAAAAGTTCATGATCTATTCTTCAATTTTTGTGGCATTGCCCTCCAGAAGACTACAGGCAGAAATGAGCGAAAAAATAAGTAAAATAAAGAGGCATTTGTGGCTTATTCTTTTCTTTAATGGGCTCAAGCTTTTGCCATTAAGAAGGATATTTACTCTTGATTACAGATTTAAAAAAAACTATCAAATTATAAGTTTTCTTCATTTCTAACTTACCAAAAGTTTTAAATCAGGGATAATTTAATTTCTATGTTATTTATTCTTTAGTTGGCATTCTGTCTACTTAAGAAAAGTATGATCTCTCTAGACTATACTGAAGAATGTTCTTACACATTATCCTACTCAGATACAGATTAAATTGCTTGGACAGAAAGATGGGCTGGGTCATAGAGCCACCTACTGCATAGCTATAAATAATAATGTTATGTTTTCTTTTCAGGTACCATGATCTTTTGACTTTCTAGCTGTGCAATTTTTCTATATTTCAATGTCCCCCAAGAGAGCTATTATTTAGTATTAAGATGTTTGTGAAAAAGTAAGAGAGTACACAGAGAGTTCCAATGTTGGTTTTACCACTTAATAGCTACTGGATTAAAGGCAAGTTTAACTTCTCTGAATTTCAGTTTTCTTAGCCTGCAAAACAGGATATTACTATCCATTGTCTAGCACTGTGCCTGACATATAAGCACTCAAAAATGTGTTAAATGAGAAGAAACATTTTAAACTAATATTAAACTGCTTATAATAGAGTTGATGCAGAGATAGTAGGTATTGATCAGTTTGTACCAACAAAGAGTTCCTCCATCAAGTGGGTTTATGCAGACATACTCACGAACAATACACAGTAACAGCAAACCATACACAAGTATGATGTGTATAATCCTTCACAGGGCTGGTTACAAATCACACCTACCTCAATGACTCAAAAGTACTACCCTCCACTAATAGGGGGGATAATGGCAACTTCGTCTCCTGGTTGAAGCAAGAGGAGCTGATCTCCAAGCTCGACATATTCTTGACGAACGGCAAATATCACCTGATTTCTAACATCAGCCAATCTGCGAGGAAAAAAGTGTGATTAGAAAGATCAATGTTTTGATAGACCTCAAATCTCTTCAGTTACAAATGAAGATATTGCATAAATACTACTGTATGAAATATTAGTGAAGTTATTAACTAAATTAACTAACATTCTATGAAAGGCCATAGCACTGACACACAATCAATCAATCAGTCAGCCAGGGGCATGATAGTTAAGGTGTTGATCCTACATAGCCAAGAGCACAGTTTGAGTCCCAAACCTGACAGCTTGGAAAATACATCAGGGTTGTTTGCTTACATGCCTAAAATCCTGACAGGAAAATGGAGGAGAAGGGATTGCAACATGGCCATACCCTGGAGGGGGGGGGGTAGTGATTATGTGTTTTCCCTTTCTGTATTTCTCTGTGAATGCATGCACTGTATACAGCAAAAACTGTTTTAAAAAAATACTTATTCATGGCAAAGAACACATTAAACTGATGACAAATTCTTTATTGGATATTGTGCCTTATGGAATTAAACAAACCAACCAACTAAAATAAACTAGATTGGAGCTAACATTCAAATCAGATCAAAAGAGAAGAAAAATGTCCTAATGAGTACATGGCCTTTCCAGGGGCCTTCTGAATACTTGCACAAGCATAACTAAGAATAGCTAGGAAGTTTCCCATAAGACCAGGTGTCTCCTTGCAGTAAAAGATTAAAGGCAGAATAGAGGCCAGTCATGTTTCATTGATTATCAGGGCACTGAAAGAGCAACTTTAAAAACATGAAATTAAGGAGTGGTTGCCTTTTTTTATTTTTTTTTTTGGAGAGATTTTTCACTGTAGGGCGCGTGCGCTCGCCAGACAGACAGAGAGAGACATAGAGACAGAAAGCGAGAAATCACCCCCCAGGGGGGATGGTCACGCCGCAATCCCTTCTCCTCCATTCTCCTCTCGGGATCTTGGGCACGCACGCACACGCGCCCGGCGTGAGTTTTAAGCCACCGGGTCCGGGACACGAACCGTGGTTCTACTACGTGGGAGTCCAGCGACATAGCCATTACGCTAACTGCTGGTTCCTAGGAGTGGTTGCCTTTTGAACATACATTGTGCAGTATCTTTTACACAGCACTATGACTTCTAAGCTAAACATTTTATAGACTAAAGAGACACTATTAACGAACACTCTGAAATAACTCATTTTGTTCTAAAAAGGACTTGAGATAGGAATGAGCAGTAAAATGTCAGATTTTCAAGAACAATTTTTTTTAAAAAAGCAAATATTACAAAAACTCAAATTCAGCAGCCTCGAGGATTTGTTATAGTTCCCTTTTCTTTTAAACTTAGAAATCTCTCTTTTTCATTCTCTAAAAAAGTGCAGCAGGACAAATAAGTTTAAAGCACACATTTTTAACAGAATTTGTCATCATTTCACTTAATGTTATAAAAGATGCAAAACCTACATTTTCAATTTTGTAAATTATGAAAGAAGACATAATCATGTCTTTCTGGGAGTATCTCGGCTCACTGTGTTTCTGTAGTAAAGTATCCTTAATCTTAAGGGCTTGGGTATTCCTAAGCACTAAAGTTTAAATTTTCAGAAGTATTTACAGAAAAATACAATGATTCTTTTAACATTAACCAGGAAAATCAAAAGTAACCAATTTATTCTTTACTATTATCACTTACACATTTTAAAAAATTTATTTTTAAATGTTAATCATACACATTCTACAAAATGTTAACTACCCAGGATGTAGACTTTCTATCTCTTTCCACAGCTGCAATGCTTTTATTTCTTGTGGCACAGAAATGGTCTCTGAACGAACTCCAGTTATTTCAGCACTTTTTGCAAAATACAATACTTCAACCTGAAAGGAGAAAATGCTTTTAATAATAACAATTCTTTTGACTGGCCACGCTGAGTTTTCTTGTTTTCCAAATGCGCTACTTTAATAAAAGATAAATTTTATAAGTTAGAGAATATTAAATTGCACATAAAACATTTCTCAGTACAATTTCAAATTCTGAAAAAAATGTTTGTTCTAAACACCAAACAGACTAATTTCTGGATGTTACTGAGTTTTATAAACACAAGTGTGCCACAATCAAGATCTTAAGTATATCTTCTCAGAAAACATGTTACAACTGTCTTTAATTGACATAAGTTATTTACCCTTTTATAAATACTTGGGAGGAGAACAAATGCCTGAGTCAAGAAATGAATTACCCAAAGGAACAACCAAATCTGGGAAAGACTTCTCTCTCAAAACTTCCAAATGACCTTTGATTCCAGTCTATATTACATTGGACCCAGCCACCAAGGCTCAAGTTATGCAACCCACAAAGCCTGACATTTAAAGCAGCAGCCAGATTTAAAATACAGGATAAACTGGTATTTCCTGGGACAAACCTGTACAATCAGTCTGGTACCTACGGGATTTGATCATGTAGAACAGCCCACCTGTCACTCAGCACACATCGCTCTCCTCGAAATAACGACAGATTTGCAAATAACCAGAGCTTTGTAAACTAATAGATGAAGCACGTTCTTTACAAGAATTCTTAAATAAATGCGTTTGTTTTTAGATTAAAATTTTGTCTTCGTCAAAACGAGTAACCTGAGAACAGGAGGCCACAAAGGTCGAGAACCTTCTGAAACGTGCCGGTCCTGGACACCGTGACCCTGACACCAGGAGTCCTCGGAGTGGACGGGAGTTTAGACAGGGGCAAGAACAAAGTCGCGAAGCCGGGTTGGGGGCGTCAGAGGGGGGCAGCCCCGGATAGAAGGCACCGGCCAGGGCGGGTGCACGTCGCGGAAGGGAGGGAGGTCCCCACTGCCATCGCAGCGACTGCGAAGAGCGTGCCAGATACATCCGCGAGCGCTCTGTCACCAGGTGGGCTCGCACACCGTCCACCCTTACCTGGCACCGAGGTACCATCCCGCCAGGACCCCTTGACCGACTTAGAACCACTGACCCGGAGGCGCCCGCACAGCAGAGCGCAGGCGCAGCATGACCTTGCGCGCCCACCGCCAGCACAGAGCATGCGCAAGGCCAGCTCCGCCCAGCTGCCCCCACGTCCTGGTGTTCCCGTGTAGACTGCTACTGGAAATCTTGGTTTCTGCTCGCAATTTGGGTGCAAAATTGAGAGCGAACGCTAGGTATGCGAGTGGAAAAGGGCTGATTATGCATGCCCTTCTTCCCTGAAAGGAAGTTGTGGTGTCAGGGAACTGACGCCGCATTACCCCGGACATTTGCCACCTGCGCTCTGGAAGCTTTTCTAGTAACCCAGTAAGAGTTCAGGCTTTCCCCCTCACTCACCGTTAGACTTCTCTGAAGTTTTTATACACTCCGCCATCTGGTACGTAGTGTTCCCTAAGGACAGAGCATTCACCTTATCCGAGCGTTCCAACTGGGTCAGGTTGGCACTTCCTTTGCCTGTTTAATGAGCTGCTCTGTAGTTTTGTCTTCATCAGCTTTCCCAACTTCTGTCACCAAGACCTCTCTGCTTTAAAGGGCTTGCGCAGTTACCTAGACAGGAGTTGGTCGTCCCTCGCCTTGGAACTCGCTTTTCTGGGTAGGAGAGAGTCATAAACATCAGCAGTGTAGTACTGGGGATAGCTGTTACCTTGCTCGGGGGTGAAGGCAGGTACATGGCTGGGTCCCCTGGGTGTGCTCTATGAAGGCTCATGGAGATGATGCTTGAGCTAAATATGAAATGGGAATAAGATCTCTGGCTAGGCAGATAGGGTTAGGAGTCCATGGAATAGAGAACATGAGACAAGATGGAATCACTATAGTCAAGCCTTAACAAAGATGATTTACTGCTCTTGCTAAAAAATCAATTACTAGCTCTCAACTTGGATTCACAGAAAGTGGCTTGCAATATGCTTGAGATAATGAGAACTGAAACGAGCATTTTCATATCATTACTACAAACAAAAGTAGTTTGTAGAGCAAACTACTAGTCTGAAGAGCAAAGGACCTTGAGCAATAATTTGTCATGAGAACTGAAACAAGCATTTTCATGTCATTACTACAAACAAAAGAGTGTAGTCTCTCCTAGTATGAAGAGCAAAGGACCTTGAGCAATAATTTGTCCTGAGGCTTGCACCTGTGAGATAAGGGGGCCTAAATGAGATTACATTTTGGAAGCACCAGGGAAAATACATCAAAGAACAAAGCTTCATCTTACATTGTAGACAACATGATAAAAATTTGAAACTTTATGGGCCACAGACCTCAGGTAATTGAAGCCTGAATGTCTGAAGTTTTGTGATTTGTGAGACCACTCCTAAATAGGAGGAGAACGACCTAATTCATCTGACTGTGTCCTTGAGGGAAGGGCATGCACAAGTCTCTCCTTGCTGGGATAAAAAGCCCTCCTGCCAACACTTCTTTGACAACCCATTTGCCCAGATCCCTCCCTGCTTGGGAGCTCTGTTTCTCCTCTTTTCTCTTAATAAACTCTACGGGTCCAGCAGGTGGCGTGGTGGTTAAGGTGCTGGACACTCCCACACGGCTGACCACAGTTCGAGTCCTGGACGTGGAGGCTTGCTTTCTCACTTTCTCTCTCTCTCTGTCTCTCTCCAGTCAAATGAAAATAAATGAATGAATAAATAAAATTAAATAAATAATTGTAAAAAAAAAACCAGAAAAAGAAAAAAACCCTCTACTATCTTGTCTCTGTTTTCCTGTCTCTAATTCTTCATAAGCATGAGACAAAGAACCTGGTCATTTCATAGTCTGAATCTGGCACTAGTATTGGACCTGGTCACCCCAACTTCCTGAGTCAAATAGTAACAGCAAATGACAAAGCGGGCTTAAGAGAGGAGAGCATTTCACTTGCTTGTGCCAAGCCACAGGGAAATAAAGCAGCATTGAATTCAAGGACTGACAGGGAGTTGGCAAAGCAGGTGTGCCCCTGCAAGGACGGAGGTGGTGGGAAATGAGGCTGGAGGGGTCAGGGAGAAGCCAGGTAAATTCCAGATCTCAGTTATTTTATTGTTGGTAAACAGCCCAGCTGAAAAAGAAAATCTTTATCTGGCTATTGATAACACAGCTTTGTTTTATTTGCATTTTGGAGTTATTAGTAGTAAGGTGAATGTTTTCATGTTTTTATTGGTCATTGGTACTTCTCTGTGAAGTTTCTTTTCTCATTACATAGTAGGTATGACATTTTTTTCTTTCTTTCTTTCTTTTCTTTTCTTTTTTTTTTTTTTTTGCCAGAGGACTCCCTAAAAAGAAGGAAAGTGAGAAAGGAGAAAGCATCCTCCAGAGGGGATGGTCACTCTGCAAGTCCTTCTCCAGTTTTTCCTCTTGGGATTTTGGGCATGCAAGCATATGTGCCTGTGGTTTTTTACAAGCCTGAGTCTGGGTCTCTGTGCTTGGTCATGTGGGATCTAGCCAACTGGGCCTAAAGAAGTTCTTTGTAAAATTATAATCCTACCTATAATCTGGGGGAGGCAGGAAAGACTGATACCAGAGGATTCCCAGATATTCCAAAACTTCTAATGTTATTCTTATTATAAATTCATTAAATTGGCGAAAGTTTAGGCTGAAATATAATTATTTTAGATACAACAAAATGACTTTAGAAACAGTGTTTGCATTTTACTTTAGCTACAATTTATGATAAAAACATTGGAGCCATGATTTCCCTAGTTATGTTTACCATAAGTAGTCCTTTTTTGTTAAAAAAAAATTTGAGGCAAAAACATGTTACATTTTATTTTCAGATTAAAAAATGAGATTCTTGATAGTAGAAATACCGGAGCAATCTTAGATATTCACAGAAGTCCATATTGAAAGGTTAAAATGTAATCTGCTTATAGTAACAAATTATCAAAAATATTCATTCAGGGACCAGCAGATGGCATAATGTTTATGTGACTGAACTCCCACGTAGCCGACTGTGGTTCCAGTACCAGACCTGGTGGCTTAAAACTCATGCCAGGTGTGTACACATGCATGCCCAGAATCTCAAGAGGAGAATGGAGGAGAAGGGAGCCTGGCCACTCCTCTCTGGGGACTGATTTCACACTTTCTGTCTTTCTAGTGAGCACACACAAAAATAGCAAAACTCTCTCAAAAAATTTTTTTTTCAGAAATTTTTCCAGTAATGCCTAGCAGAATCATAGTTTACTAGGTTTTTCTGTCAATTGTGCCACAAATTGGTAACAGTTTTTGCTGTTTTTTTTTTAACATTTAAATATTAATAGTATAATTAAATGCTTGCCACCATTAATTCTATTATTTCATATTACAATTTATCCTCAAATTGACATAAGCCTAAAATGGAAAATTATTTATCTGATTTATAAAATCTAACCTATCCACTCAGTTATATAGATTTTTATTTATTTATTTTTTTTGGTGAGGGATTTTTGCTATGGGGTGCATGTGCTCGCTGGAGAGAGAGAGACAGTGACAGAAAGCAAGAAATCACCCTCCCCACGAGCGGGGGATGGCCATGCCACAATCACTTCTCCAGTGTGGGCCATCATCAGAATCTTTTCATGATGCTACCTAGCTTCAGGAACTTTATTTAAGCAACTTGAAGCCTATAATCAATAGCTGTGTTAAAAAATATAGAAACTAAATTTTTAAATCTCAGTCCATAAGTACTCCTTTGTTTTCAGGGTAGTATAACTTGTATAATGAGAAAAGATCTCTGTCTGAAGAAGTTTGGACTGTGTAGTATGATATCTATAAACACTGGACTAATGTCTTTGAAGTATTTTTAGGTGTATTTATATTTATCAATAAAAATAGAGATAATATAGTGGTTACTTTTTGAAAGACCACTTTGACATAAACCTATTTAAAAATATTTCCCAGAATTTTGAGCATCTTCCTACACA